ACACGAAAGACAAGGAAAAAAAGAAAGAAAGGGAAAGAGAGAGGAAGAAAGGAAATAAGGAGAGAAGGAAGGAAAGAGGGAAGGAGAGGAGGGAGGGAGTGAAAAAGAAGAAAGAAAGAAAAAAGAAAACGAAAGAAAGAGAAAATGAAAGAAAGAAAGGGAACTGATGTCACTACTGTTTCGTGATAAGGGCATAAAATATTGTTGCTTTATTTTGTGGTGTGTGCTTCCAGTGCTCAGCATTTCTTAGCCTTGTTCTCTGGATTCTTTAATTGGTTTGAAGTTCAAAGATATAAGCAAACTATCAGGACATCATAAAGACGTTTTGGTTGTCTCTAATGCTCTGTATGTATTTTGTTGGCTATTCCCAAGTTAATGAAAGCAAAATAACTAAGAGCCTATGAATTAGGATGATTGACTATAGAGAATTGTATTTTTATGACTTCTAAATTGTCAAGGACTAGGGAGTCTCATAATGATGTAATGAGGGAAAAAGCACAGGATGAGGGTCTTTCTCCAGCATCCTCCAGATTAGAGAAACAGAATACAGAGGTTATGCTACGTGTTCACAGTGTTGTGTGCCACAGCCAGGGCAGTACTATTGCTACAGGGCTTTCTGTGTTCTGTACCGGGGATTCTTAGTGGGATCTGAAAGCAGTCATTCTGCCAGATCCAATCTAGTTTCAGAGTAATAGCAAGATGCTCTTTTTCTTTCTGTCGTCTTACAATCCATTAGGATGTGATAAACTTTACAACCTGGGAGCTAGATAATATATAGTATGTACATCCTATGTAGATACTATATAACCTTTTTTTCCCCCAGTCATGGCGATTGAACTCAAGGCCTGGGCACTGATCCTCAGCTTTTTTTGCTCAAGGCTAGCACTCATCACTTGAGCCATAGTGCCACTTCCAGCTTTTTCTGTGTATGTGGTACTGAGGAATTGAAACCAGGGCTTCATGCATGCTAGGCAAGCACTCTACTACTAAGCCACAGTCCCAGCCCTATATAACCTTTTTTTTTTTCAAATGTTTAACTTCCTAATGTGATAAATAATAATAGACACAATGTTTGAATACCATGTATTTGAAGAGCTTGAAAGAGTTGTAAGACAAAAAGTTTGAGGAATCCTGGTTTAGATATTTTCTGTTTCCTCACTGAGTACTGGAAATGCATTGTTAGGAAGCAGGCTTGTTCTCATCCTCACTGGACACTCCAAGAGACGGAGGCATGGAGAAAGTAATGACCTGCCAGGGGTTCCAAGACTAGAATTCGCAAGGCCAGAATTTGGGCCTCTGTCTCAAGCTCTTAGCTCCTTCTGACGAAGTCATTAGACTCACTGTGTCTTAATGAAGCACCAGAATATTCCTGGGTCTAGACCCTAGCTTCTCAAAAGAAAAGCTACTCAGAATCCAGGCCACCCATCAGGAAATATCAGAGATTTTGTTCATTTAGACAGTGTGAAACAGAGACCAAATGCTCATGTTTTTGTAGGCTGAGTCCAGACTCAACTGTTTATTTGATTCATTTTGATTTTGTACTATGTGAAAAATAAAACCATTGGGTTCCTTTGGCAGGGATACCACCCTATACCACCATTTGTCAAGATGTGGGGGTGGGGTCTCACTAACATTTTGCCTTGGCTGGCATTGAACTGCAGTTCTCTCAATCTCAGCCTCCTGATCTCCACCTTCCAAGTAGCTGGAAATACATACATACATACATGCATACATACATATATATATATGTATATATATATATATATAATCATGCCTGGTACATGTGTCTGTTTTTTTAAATTTAGAGGATTTCCCCTTTAAAAAGTTTATTTTTCCAAACACCCTTGAGAAATTGGAATGTGAACTTGAAAGAACCACATGGCCAATCAGTTTATAGTTTATAGTTGTCAGTTACAGGACTTGAACTCATGGCCTGAGTGCTGTCCCTGAATCTCTTTGTGCTCAAGGCTAGCACTCTAACACTTAAACCACAGTGCCACTTCCAGTTTTTGAGTGATTAATTGGAACTGAGTCTTTTTTTATTGTAAAGATACTGTACAGAGGGGTTACAATTACATGAGTAAAGTAATGAGTATATTTCCTCTCGAGCATTGTTACCTCCTCCTTTGTTTTTCCCAGAGTCTTATGGAGACTTTTCTGCCCAGGCTGACTTTGAACCCCAATCCTTGGATATCAGCCCTCTGAGTAGCTAGGATTACAAGCATGAGTCATCTGTGCTTATTAAGTGCGCTGTGGATCTTCTAGTTTGCCACAGACTCCACTGCCCTCTGTTATTCCCCAATAGCTCATATCCCTCATTTATTTTTACCTGTTTCAAGTGCTTATGTTTGGGGGAAAAAAATCTCGTAGATGTTTTATCTACTGCAGAGTACTTATAGGCTATATGCATTTAACTGATTAACAACAAAGACACAGTGGACAAAAACAAGGCCGAGTATGGTAAGGAAGGATGTCAATGGCAGAGCTAGGCAGGGAGCAAGTGGCTCCCTTTCTTACTAAAGCATAAAATTCTGATTCATTAAAATATAAGGATCTGCCAGCAGATTAACATTTATTTTTAAATGTGCAGGCCTTTCTTTTTTAAGCGTAATAGTGAAATAAGCACATCCCTCTTGTTGCCCTCATTTTCTGTTTATTTTAGTCATGTCTCTTGTCCTCATCATTATCGAGTCTGGACCCTTTGTGAAGTTTCAGGTGTCTGTGAACCTCTGGGAGCCTGTGAGGTCAAAACACTTGGAGATGGTCAGCCTAAAGTGTTTCGTTATCTGGAGTGCTTGCGCCAATTTGTGACTCTCAAATATGTATGATTGAAACACAGTCTTCTTATCCCAGTAGTAGTAAGCACGTGTCAACATTTTGCAGTGAGATTGGCATGCCGCCTCTTTTGCTTCATCCAGACTACCTTGCTTTATAAGCTGGGAGTCGTCTGGGCTTTCTGATTGTTCACAGTACATATTCCACGATTTGTACTGTTTAGTACATAATGGAATGAATAAATGAAGAGACAAAAATTCACTAATCATGTATCATGATGATTTTCATGTTCCCAAATTTGAGGACTGAGGAAGGTATGGGTAATGTCTTACGTTCTATAAAAATAAAAGTGTGCCTCCAGGTGTGTGTGTGTGTGTGTGTGTGTGTGTGTGTGTGTGTGTGTGTGTGTGTGTGTGTGTGTGTGTGTGTGTGTGTGTGTGTGTGTGTGTGTGTGTGTGTGTGTGTGTGTGTGTCTTGTCTATGTGTATGTGTGTAAATGTATGTGCATGTAACTGTGTATGTGTCTCTCATGCTGTTTAGGACAGACACCCCTCTCTCCCTAATGTGAGATCAGAAGGCAAGTTACAAGTGCACCCAGTTAAGAATATGGTGCCTGTTGAGAGCAGGATGCAGGGCACAGCTTGAAAGTTCAGCAGAATGTCTTCCCCACTGAGAGACCATCTTCTTGAAGTCGGAAGTGGCAGTTTCTCGGCCATTAGGAAGGTCTCGTGTAATATTAGCTTTTAGGCAATGTCTCCTCCGAAGGGGGCACCCGGCTCTTAACCTATTACTGAAAGAGAAATACCATTGTCTATTAATACAACTGGAACGAAAGATGAATAGTGAATTGGCCTTGATCTGACAGTGAGTTTGACTTTGATAGCTCATCCCTTAAAAAGGTTCTTTTATATTTAAGAAAAAAAGCATGACGTCAAGCCAGGGAAGGGGGTTGGTGGAATGGATATCGATATTTCAGCCCCAAATCTTAGGAAATTAAAAAAAAAGCCCCTTGTGAGAACTTTTTTTTAACATGCATAACTAATTAGCTTAGGTTATTATAAGCAGAGCTGCTGTGACAAAGTTTCCGGCGGTGTCTCAAGATACCTTGTTCATAGTGCCTTCCCTATGCTGCGGCTCTCGGAATTGGAATCGCAGAAAGTCAAGGGAGGACTAGTCTACAATTTCTTGTTGGATTGGGGCCACATAAAACATTGTTATGCTGGAAATGCTAGAATATAATCACTACCAGGTGAGCTGCGTTCTTATTTATCTTTGGTTTCTGAGATACAATGCTATGAATTGTCTCATGCTCCCTTTAACTGTCTCTGTAATAAGCGTTCTGGTTTCAGTAAATACAGATCTTGCTGTCTTAGTGCCGATTATTGTCTGATGCCCTCAGAGGTAATTCAGTGCTCTGTTGTAGTCTTGAACAAAGTAAAAATTACTAGGATTTATATTCCCCTCGTGTGTGGCCGTTCTTAGTTCATAAGATTACATTGTGTTTATCAAGGAAAAAGGGAGTCCAAAAATTTTTTTTCTAGAAAAGCATCTAAAAGTTCATAGGAAAAAGGGGAAAAAATCCTGATTGCTGATTAATAGTGATGCCTTTATAAATAAATTTATAGGAGTGTTGTGTGTTTGAAAGAAGCTGTTTCACATACAGCCAAATTTTCCCTTGAATTTGTTCAAAATTAAGATGCTGAATAATCATGTTCAAAGGGATTCATTCACAACTCGTTGATTTAACCACTGAAAAGTTTATTTTCCATAACCATTTTACAATTGGTACTTAGGAGGGATGTACTATAGGTACCTGGGTGAGGGTTAACCTGAAGTCATTTTGTTTGCAAAAAAGTATATGGTAAATTGAGTTTTGCATCTTCTGTCTTATGACATGTTTTCAGGTGTGTTGGGAAACTTTTTTTTTTTTTTTGCCCTACAGAGAAGTTGTAAATTTTCAATAATGAGAGATTAGAAGGGCACCAACTTTGAAAGAGATGCATAACAAATTAGCGGACAAAGTGTTACTCTCAATCCTAGACTCTGAACCTCAGTAATATCCAAGTCGTTAGCGTAGTGCCTCGTACGCAGCTGGGCTCAGTCATTGCTTCTGTTGTTGGACTTGTCAGTCGTGTGCCTTGTGGCTGAAGGAAGAGCTGTTCAAAAGTTAAAAAGAAAAAATAGTAATAATCATGCTCTTCTTTTCCCTCTATGACTATGTTCAGGTGCAGACTCACCTGGAAAACCCCACCAAGTACCACATACAGCAAGCCCAAAGGCAGCAGGTAAAGCAGTACCTTTCTACCACTTTAGCAAATAAACATGCCAACCAAGTCCTGAGCTTGCCATGTCCAAACCAGCCTGGCGATCATGTCATGCCACCAGTGCCCGGGAGCAGCGCACCCAACAGCCCCATGGCTATGCTCACACTTAACTCCAACTGTGAAAAAGAGGTAATTTATGTCTCCTCTCCTCTCCTCTTTCCTTACACTCAATAACTGTCTGTTGGGTATTCTTGCCCTTAACTATGGACTCTATTTTGTTCACCCCTCTTCCCCCCATCACTAGCCTCTGTCTTTGATTCACCAAGTGTGGCTGTGACTTGCCAGCCTTGTGTCCCTGCCACTGGGTTATTGGATTTATTGCACATGATCGAGACTTGAGCCCGTTCTCAGCGGAATGTGGAAGCAGAAAGCTTCCTCCAGTTATTTCTACTGCCATACCTGAGTGCCCTTCCCATGCTTCGTAGTTTAAGAAGCAGCAAAAATGCAGAGAGAGGAGAAGGGGAGGTGGAAAAGGAAACCGCAAAAAATAGAAAAGGTGTGGGACAGGCGGTTTTGAAGTTCCGCTTGTTGTGAAAGACTGGAATATTATTTTTATTTCTCCCAGAGTTGAAAAAAAAAAGTAAAAGCATGGAATGTGTGCGGATGGATTTAAATGATAGAACACAGTGAGAATTGAATAGAAAAGCCAAGGTTTGGTGCTAGCTACATTCCATTTCATAACGAAATCGCTTCTGCTGCCCGTCAAATCTGCTTTGGTGCAAGGCTGGCTTGGAGACAAGACGCACATAGACCTTCAGACTCGTTGTTGTAGCCAATTTAAGAGCATAAAAAATTCCTGAGAGGACAGTTGTGATTTCATGACCGCTGCTTTCAATTAAGACACGATGAGCCTCATGTTAGTAGAGTTTCACTGTACTTTGAAATGTGTATGTGAATTCCCTGGTGACTCTTCTAAAAACTTTTCTCAAAAGTTGCACTCCGTTTTTCTAAAAGTTACGTTTAAGCACTGGAGGGACTAAGTCTTTTCCCCTGAGCCCAAACCAAAAGCTGATTTTTCACTGTCATCTAGCAAGATGACTTGGTACCAGTCCATCCTTCATTTTCTGTGTGTTGGTCAGATGCTCTCTGTCTGAAAGCTCCGTCCATCGTGTTGCTCAACCATCAGCCTCATGTGAACATGTCGTTGGGAAAGCCATCTGCAAACTCAAGTCATGGGCTGTTTCTGTTTTGTGTTTTTACAGGGATTTTATAAGTTTGAAGAGCAAAACAGGGCAGAGAGCGAGTGCCCAAGTATGAACACACATTCCCGCGCGTCATGTATGCAGGTACTGAATGACTGGATGGCCCCAGGATGTCACACTTTATAATGAGAATCTCTATTTGTGGCTCATCACACCTTCCTGATGACTTAAGGGTTTTTTTTGTTGTTGTTTTATTTTTTCCTTCTTCCCATTGATTTTTTTTTTTTAAGTAGGCGAAACTATGTTCAGGACCATTTTTTTCACAGTAGCTCATGATTCAGTAATTACTGAGAAAATGCACTGTACTTTTCCCAAGATGGTCTTATGTCATACAAAAGGGGAACCAAACATATAGGTTTTAATTACAAAATAAAATATAATATATTCTGTTACACTGTACACATCATCATTAATGTGTTAGGAAGATTTGTAAGGTAGCAATTTCCATAAAAGAATATTAGTAAATGCAAAGGGTAACTGTGTGTGGCTTCTTTTTTCTTTTTTGGTCCAAAATGGACACTCGAACTCAGTACCTGATGCTTTTGTTCATAGGCTAGCAGTCTACCAACTGAGCCACATCTCCAACCCCAGACCTATATATTGTTTATAAATGAAACCTCATGGTACATAAATTCTGGAACTCTATTTAAAAATATATATTGGGTATTTTACCAAATAAAAGTTCTTATATTTTATTTAATGAAAACATTCTGCTGCATCAATTTACATATTTATGTGTATACACATATCTACAAAAGACAGTATAAACAAATTATTGTTCCTTCTTGAATTCTTACACATTCTATTTTACAATTTAGAAATTGACCATATTCTATAATCTTTATATTTTCCAGTATCAACTTGCACTGCCTTTGTCATAAGAGGGGAATTTTTTTTTTTAAATCTCATAAGTACACAAATTTTGTTTTCTTCAGAGTAAGGGTAAAAATTTACAAAGAAAGGTTTTTTATATTTCCCTGGCCTCTTTTCCTATTTGTCAATTCAGTTATAAAATCATAAAATCATCTATTACAAACAGCATGAATAAAACTGGTTTGCCTAGAATTGGAACCTAACAGTGTCCAAAAATTATTCAAAACCTATTGCCAGTTCATCTTCAGTCCTCCCTAGTTAGCACTTGTGTTAAAAATGTTTACTGTGTTCTTGACACAATTAGCAATTTATATGGTTCATCCTGGAATCAAAACAGAGTCTGGTAAGGTGACAGATATTGTTGGCTTCCATTTACAGACTGGCACACTGAAGTTCTTAAAAAGTGGGAGGCCTTGCCCTTAGTTTGGGAAATGGGGGAAACTAGGATGCCAGCCTGAGCCTGTGATGTTGGAGCCTCGCCTCCTTAACAGGAGGGCAGACAGACACAGAAGAATGCCCCGCTGCAGCCTGAGAGTTCATTGTGCACCTGTGGAGCACTTCCCAGGCCAGTACAGGCACACCAACCGACTCAGATATCCCAAGTGTTTATTACAGATAAATGTTTCCACAGGCTCCTCTGCAACTGCTGCAATGCACATGTAATCACTGTTGTTTATTACCAGAACTGGTGTTTTGGTACTTCAGCAATAACATTGATCTAGTGGGAATGGCAGCTCCAAGTCTGTAATGATAACTTAGTCCTGGTGTGCTCCGTGGGGAGCACCAGGCACACTGGCAGCGGTACAAGGAGACACTTGTTTTACCAGTTGCTGAACAATCAAGGCAGGGCCAGCCAGTGGCTTGAGAGATCCTGTACAACCAAAGCGCTGAATTAACCAACCATGTCTTCCTTCTCCTAGAAGGGTGTGGGGAAAAAAAGAAAGAAAATAGCAGTTGTCACTAAAATGAATCTTTACTGTTTAGGACAGGAAGTTCAGCATAGTGGTTGAAAATATAGGTTAAGTCACAGCTCTACCCTAAAGTCATGCATGCAGGACTTTAGACAAGCTGCTTCTTGTGATCTCATAGGGACAAAGGCTATAATAATAGCATCTACGGATGGGATTACTGTTGGAGTAATTAATGTATCCTATGGAAATCCCGAAGCTCAGTGCTTGGCACCTAGTAATCACTCCAAGCCTGGCTACAAGAATTATTCACATCACCTATTAGTGGTAATGGTTTTCAACAATATCTTCACTTCTGTGGAAAGAGGAGAATTTACTACTGCTTTAGGTAAAAAGAAGCACTATGGAGATTAAATTATAGCTTTTTTCTTATTTCTGTCTCCTCTCCCATGGCCCGTTCCCCTACAGATGGATGATGTGATTGATGATATCATTAGCCTGGAATCAAGTTATAATGAAGAAATCCTGGGCTTGATGGATCCCGCCTTGCAGATGGCAAATACGGTATTGATGACCTTCATCTTTTTTTTTTTTTAGAGAAAAGCTCGAGATATTGCCAGTGTTCTCTTCTTTTTCCTGAACTCTTTGTGTTTGCAACCGATGGATTTATTAATAATAAAATGGAAAATTACCATAGGTTCACAAATCAGGTGAATTTGGTACTAGAAACAAAATGTTTTTCAAACATTAGAAATAAATATTGCACGAGTATCTCTGGAACTCTGTGATAAAGTTCTACATTCTCTGAAATCTGGTGTGTTTTTGATAAAACGGGAGACCTGCTGATTCTCCCTCATACCTTATGCCCAACTTAGTACGCATCAGCCCAGAAAGCTACTTTGCACTGTTCTGTTCATACAGGTGTATAGTTAGCCTGGACAAGTTAATACAGTTTTGAATGGAGGTGTCTCACTATCCACCAGTGTAGCGGGACACTGAGAATAGTCTTTGAAAGAAGCAGAACTTACTGTATTTAAGTTCAGAAGCTACTGGTCCTCTGAACTTGAGTGCTACTATGGTGCTGTTGTATATCACTTATTTCCCTATGTCATTTAGAGCCTCACTTGTATATTTCTTTTTCTTCACCCCTTTTATTTGTGTGTCTTCAGCCGCTATTTAAGCAAAGTTGTATTAGAAATCTTCCTTAGTCTTTACAATCATTCTCTATAAGTGTAGTTGTGGTGATTCCAATAGATAGGTTAGCACAAGACTCCATAGCTAGAACCAGGTCTGTTCTGTAGATGATCCAATCTTTGCTATGAAACCATTGTATTCTTTAATAACTAGTGTTTCAAAGCCTCAAGTTTATTGAGTTGAAGGAAGAAAGTGTAAATTTTGTGGCTTTTATGAGTATGGAATTCCTGTTTTCCAAGAAAATGAATACTTAGGATTATTGAGCTACACATGTTTAAATACTGCAGATGATAAATTTCATATTGTGTAGTTTCTTTTTATTACATTAAATGTCTTAAAATAAAAATACTAACTTCTAATAGTAATTTCCTTAGGAACAAGATAGCCCTTATTTATTTACACTAAAATTCAGCCAAGTGAACTTCTGGGCTTACACTGTTCTTTTCTTTCCCATGTTGGTCCAGTTCTTTAAGTTATTTTCGTGAACACATGTGGGGATGGGTCTGCCCTTGAATCTCAGCACTTCTGCTAGGAGACTTAGAGTTTTGTCTACTTCCCCTCCATTTAAAATCACCATCTGATTTTGGAAGAGCCACATGATCTGCCTTTTTGGTAAATTTTCTTGTGCCAAACTCTCCTAACCTTCTTTAAACCTTTGGTTGGTCTCCATAGAACACTTCACTTCCAACTTGGAGCAGCCCACCAGATGCAAACTGCTCTTGTCAGCATCCAGAATCCTGGAGTGCACATGAGCAAAACATTTGAGGAGCTCACACTAGGGTATATTTATTAAAAATACCCTAACATAATATATATTTACAATGCTGCCCTAGCAGCATTAATTAGCAATGGCCTAGTCATCCGAAAAATCTTCATTAGAAGTGTGGCCTTTTTGCCCTTGATATCAAATGGGCTAAAGAGAGCTGTAGAAAGGGCATTTTATTACCAACATTGGTTGGTCAGTTGGATCCATCCTCCCTTCCTCTCTCCCTCTCTCCCTCTCTCATTCCCTTCTTTCTTTCCTTCGTTCCTTCCTTCCTTCGTTCCTTCCTTCTCTCCCTCCCTCCCTCCTTCCCTCTCTCCTCCCCTTTCTTCCTTCCTTCCTTCCTTCCTTCCCTCCCTCCCTCCCTCCCTCTCTCCTTCCCTTCCTTCCTTCCTTCCTTCCTTCCTTCCTTCCTTCCTTCCTTCCTTCCCTCCCTCCCTCCCTCCCTTCCCTCCCTCCCTCCCTCCCTCCCTCCCTCCCTCCCACCCTCCCTCCCTTTTTCCCTCCCTCTCCTCTTCCCCTTCTGCTTTCCCTTCTCACCCTCCCCTTCCCCTTTCCGCTTTTCTTTGTTTTTCTTCCTTTCTTTCTTAAAATGGTGAAAGCCTTTGAGGTTGTCTGGCTCAACCAGTACTCACCATTGTATTAACCATCTCTTCTATGTCCTTATATTCCACACAAGAGATAAGGTAGCCAACTTTTTTGAGAGCTCCAAGAAAGGATCTGCAGGAGAGGAGTGACAAAATGCAGGGGTCAGAAGTTGGAGAATAGTGAGACCTGAGTTCAGATCCAAAAACTGTCATTTATGGTGTGAACTTCCATGCTTCAAGTCCTGTTTCCCCCATGTGTAAATGGAGCTATTCATTATACCCACCTCACATGTCATTTTACTTAGTGTGTGTGTGTGTGTGTGTGTGTGTGTGTGTGTGTGTGTGTGTGTGTGTGTGTATAAAATATAGAACTTAACAATGGAAGTCTAATTTGTACTTAACAAAACTTTATGCTTTACAATTTATTAGTTGTAATATCAAATAGGATTTTTTTCCTTTTCTTTCTCTACTTGGGTTAAAACTTAGGGCCTTGAACTTGCTAGGCATATGCTTTGCCATGAGCCATGGCCCCAAGCCTTTTCTGCTTTGTTCACCTTTCTGGAAGGACCTTCCCTTTTTGTCCAGGGCCAGCTTTGGACCACACACTTCCTGCTTATGTCCTTTCAAGTGGCTAGGTCGAGAGCATGCACTATCACGTTCAGCTTATGTGTTGAGATGGAGTCTCACTGACTTGTCTGGGCTGGTCTCAAATCTTAGTACTCACCAACTCTTCCTCTGGAATAGCTGGGATTACAGGTGTGAGCCACTACAGTCTTGGAGCAGTCTTAATATTATTTGTTTATTCAGCTGACATTCACCAGGCATCTGTAATATTCCAGGCTCTATGTTAGACTACATAGCTTACTAGTCAGTGTCTCTTGCTTATCATATTCCACATGACAACCCTCCTGAAGAGTCATTATGACTCTGTGCTTTTGTCCTTTTGAATAGATATGCATGTCTCCTTAGCACTGAGGTGTTGTTCTTCATTATTTGATTGCCTTGAAATATTTCAATTGATTGAACATCTATTAAATGCCTCTTAGATGAAGTGCTAGAGATTCAAAGGAAAAGCACGCCTTCTGTTCTCATGAGGTCCTGCCACCGGGTCAGGGAGACCAAGTCAGCCCATGAGATCAGAAGGTTTAATTGAGGAGGAGAAGAGGGGCCACCTCGGGGAATTCCCAACTTGGGACTATCCCCTGAGAAGAGACCAGTGAGTGAATTCCCAGCACGTAAGGAGTCTCTGCAGCTAACCCTCAAAAGCCACTCACTCTGTCCTGCCTTCTGCTCATCTTTTGTGCCACTGTGCTGGCAAAGGCAAAATGTCACCTAACATCTACCTTGTCTTTTGACAAGACTATTACAGCATTTTTTGCTACTCTGAATCAGACACCTGAATGCGTACTCTTGTTATGTTTGTTGTGGAGCTGAGGAACCAATCCAGGGCCACATGCATGCTAGGCAAATGCTCTACCACTGTATTTCATCCCTTGCATGCTTATTCATTTGTGTATGTGTATATGTTTGTGTATGTGTGTATATGCGTGTATGTCAGTACTGAGGCATGAACTCAGGGCTTAGGCACTGTTCTGTAGCTTTTTTTCTGAAGGCTAGTACTTTGCCAGTTGAGTTATAGCTCTACTTTTGTCTTTTTGGTGCTTCGTTGGAGAAGTCTCATAGACTTTCCCAGCTGTGGTCTTCAGATCTCAGCCTCTTGAATAGCAAAGATTACAGTGTGAACCATAGGACACCCAATGAGTGCTTATTCTTTAGTTTGTTATTTAAGCTTTCTACCTCAGTTTCCTCATCTTTGAAGTTCAGGTAATGATCACAAATCTACCACAACAGAATCCATGTAAGAACTGTAACAGTTAATCCACAGCAAACACCCAGAACACTTCCAGCCCTGATAAACTCATTAAAAGTTATCAGGTCTTATTTTCGATAAGCTTGGGTTTTAGTTATCAAAAGCACATAATCAAGCTACTCTAATCTATTCACACTTTATTTTTTCCCACAGTTAAGATTTAAGTTGAATACGCTTTGACCTAGGCATTTTCCCCCCGTTTTGATTCTTTGAAATTCTTTATTTCCAGTTAACTACATTAAAAAATGTGGAAAGAACACTTAGCAAGGAAAGTATCCTCAGGGAATTGAGGTCTAGAAATAACTATTGGAAGAGCACAAGGACCCTCTTGTACCATCACAAACAAAGAATAAAAGTCCCAGTTTACTTGTGTTCACAGAGTGCAATTGATATTCAGAGAAGGGACCATCCAGGGAGAAAAATAATAACATTTTACAGTGATCATCTTCTTGGAAAAATATTCATTTTGGTGGAGTAGAACCCTCTAGAGCTCAATTTAGACCATGGGTAGGACAAAGACAAGGTACAGATACCTTCTTTTTATTATCATGGCTGTACAAGTGAAGCCCTGGTCAATGCTCTAGATAAGAACTCAGCAGGTTGCCCACCAGCCATGTTAAGTCATGATTCCTCTTGGTTCTCAGTTCCACAGGTGTTATTTTGATCTAATTGTGAGCCTGTGTTTATAGGGGAATTTTCTAACATATGAAGGGAACCACAGAATTGTTAAGTTTTTTTCAGTTTTTAATCCTCCTTTCTTTCCATTTTGGGATCCAATTCAGAATCAAGAGTTTGAATTCTGATCTTTTTTTTTTTTAGATAGGCCAGTGGTTCATGCCTATATCTAACTACTCTAGGGAGACTGAGATGGGAGGATCACAGTTCAAAGCCAGCCCAGACAGAAAAGCTTGAGACTCTTATCTCCAGCTAACTACCAAAAACAAAACAAAACAAAAGCAGAAGTAGAGCTTCAGGGACAATATCCAGGCCCTGAGTTATATATGTATGTATGAATATATATAATTTATATCATTTCACACATGTATTTTTCCTGTGTTAGAAACGTATATTCTTATTCTGGAGTTTAGAATTAGATTCAAAGTAGATTGGTAGAAGACTTAGAGGTTTATCTTTAAGCTAGCTATACATCTCACTTACCTAATAACTATCCCTAACAAATCACCATAACACAATTGCATGTTTGCCATCCAATTTGCATATGAAAACATGTCTATGGTTTATATTCTAGAGTTATGGGAACAACATCTTTTTAGCTTTTTGCTTTGAATTTTCGAGTTATATACTTGGCTTATTCAGAAGTTTCCTGTAAATCTGAAACTCTGCAAGGAATAAAGTTTTGGTTTGGGAGGCATCACTAAAATCATTTTCATGGCAACATTGTAAGATTTCTTTTTCTGGCCCTTTACAGCACCTGGCTATAACATGCATGTGCTTTCATTCTGTTAGAATAAAGTTGGATGAGGTTAAAACTGAATATACAGAGTAAGCCGGGTTGTCCTTGAGAAGGTGACCTATCTCAAATAGAGCCACTTAGTGAAATGACAGCTAATAATCAAAGTCACTTTTTATCAGTTTCTTAGCTGGAAGGTTCAAGGACATTTTAAATTAGCACCATGTGTCTTTACTGGCCTGTATAAAGGAGATATGTGTATTATGTTTCTGTAGATACTACAGGTTCTGCCTTCAATACAGAGCCAAAGAGGGGCTAAGGGCCCGCTGATCTACCCACCCCAGTCTCATTAGAGCCTATAAGAAAGTCCCCCGTGTGCACTTCCTTCCAGCCCTACCTCTAACTAAGAGTCTAGTTCATGGAGTATTTATTTATAGGAATAGATGGAAATGGCTACCTAGAAAGGGAAACCTACCTGATCCTATTTTTATCTCATGATAGATTTCCATCTGCATGCTAACGGCCTTTTAAGAAAATGAACAGCCCTACAGGCTAATCATCCCTAATTCAAAAATCCAAAAGGTTCCAACATCCAATACTTTCAAAGTGCCAACTTTATGCCCTAAGTGGAGACTTCCACACTGACCTCATATAACAGGTCAGTCAAAAGGCAGGTGCAGGGGCTGGGAAGGTGGCTCAGTGGTAGGGCGCTTGCCTTGCATGCCTGAGGCCCTGGGTTCGATTCCTCAGCACCACATAAGCAAAAAGAAAAAAGCCGGAAGTGGCGCTGTGGCTCAAGTGGTAGAGTGCTAGCCTTGAGCTGAAGAGCTGAGGGACAGCGCCCAGGCCCAGAGTTCAGGCCCCACAACCGGACCAAAAAAAAAAGGCGGGTGCACTTAAAATACTATAGAAAATTAACTTCAGGTTATGTGTAGAAGATGTATGAAACATGAATGAATTTCATATTTAGACTTTCATGTCATCTCCAAGATACCTCATTTTGTGTATACAAGTATTGCAAAAAAAAAAAAAATCTAAGCTGGGTGCAGGTGGCTCACAACTATAATCCTAGCTACTCAGGAGACTGAGGACTCAGGAGATTGAGGTTCAAAGCCAACCTCGGCAGGAAAGTCCTTGAGACTCTTATCTCCAATTAACCACCAGAAAACTGGAAGTGGTGCTGTGGCTCAAGTGGTAGAGCCCTGGCCTTGAGCTGAAGAGCACAGGGTCAGCACCCAGGCTCAGAGTTCAAGCCCCATGACCAACCAAAAAAAAAAAAAAAATTCTAGAAAAGTCCAAAATTCCCACAGCTTCCTGGATATATTCCTAGTAAGGGATACTCGGTCTGTATAGCAAGCACAGTCTTCATTAGAAATGCTTGGCCACTAAATGTTTTGGTCCTACCTCCCTCAGATACAAACTTTGCAGTGTGCCATCAAAGGAAGGGCTCAGTGACCCCAAATCTACTTACCCAATAATTATGGTTAGAGGGATTATTTGAAGTAATATGAAAATGTTGTTTGCAGTGGGAAAAAACAAGGTCACATAACTTCATATTTAATATTTAGAATTCTCATCAAGGCCTAAGAAGAGGAAAGGTCTTACTTAGTATGTAAACTACAGGAAATGCACGTCCAACCCAGGAAGTCAGTGTCAGAAGAAAAAAAAAAAAACAGAAATTTACCGCTTTAAAACATTTAGTTAGTTTGAGGAGGATCAATGGTTGTTTTAAGTGTAATTTTTTTGGTTCTTTTATTAAAGTCTATGGGCTCCCTCTTGTGGCTTTCTGAAAAATTTCAACTTCAAGGAAATGAGCAATAAGGAAATCAGTTCTTTTCCAAAAATTAAAAAATATTTTTCATTGCCTTATTAAAGAGAAGGGAGAAGTAAGTAAAAGGAAGAAAATTGACATTGATGGGAAAGTCAATTAGGTAGGAAAGTGACACATAAGATATTATTTTATAATAATCCCCAGCATTTACTACGATTGGCTTTGTTTTGCTGGTTGTAGGAGATAATGCCCTTGACACATTATCCATTGTCTCCAATATGCAAATAACCCCCCCCCCCAGGTAGTTATTGGAGCCAGCGTGTGAGTGTGTCCTTCCCTGTCTTTAGCTAAGCTGTACAGCTACTGTCTGAGTGAATGAAAAGCAAATATTTCATGTTTGTATACTTAAAAGAAGAAAAAGCGAGGTGCTGGTGGCTCATGCTTGTAATCCTGGCTAGCAGGAGGCTGACAGCTGAGGATTGAGGTATGAAGCCAGCCAGGGCAGGAAAGTCTATGAAACTCATCCTCAGTCAACTACCAAGAAGCCAGAAGTGGGGCTGTGTCTCAAGTGGTAGAGCACTAGCCTTGAGTAACAGAGCTCAGGGACAGCTCCCAGAACCAGCCCCTCACCCCCAAGGGTGGGGGGAAAATACCTAACACTTTTATACCACTTTCTTTCCTTCAAATGAAGCCTGGAGTAGGCTAAGTACAATGCATCTAATTACTACTTCACATAGGTAATCCAAACTAGTTGGGAGATGGAAGTAGGAAGATCTTGCTTCAAGCCATTCTGGGATGGGGTCGGGAGGGTTTAGTAAAACCCTATTAAGCTTGCCACCATGGTTCTAGTGGGAAGTATGAGACTGGTCCAACACTTGTCTGAAAAATATCTAAAGCAAAAAGGATTGTGTACATGCTCAAGTGGTAGGGTATTTGCCTAACAAACACAAAATACTGAGCTTAAAACTTCTGAAGTGTGGGGTGAGAGGGGGTGGCTGCCCGGAATCTGGGAGAGGATGTGGGTTTGATCTGAAAACCTTGGGAAATTTTCAGCAATTCACTGCTGTTCTTTTTTGTTGTTGTTAGTTACCGGTCTCCGGAAACTTGATGGACCTTTACAGCAACCAAGGCTTGCCACCGCCAGGCCTTACCATCAGCAACTCCTGTCCAGCCAACCTTCCCAACATTAAAAGGGAGCTCACAGGTCTGTAAGCAAACACGCTTCTTACTGTAATATTCTGTATATTATAATCCTTGTTAGGCAGAGTTAGTGTGATAGTAATGTATGTAGCCAACTCCTGGATCTCCTTTCTTCCATCTCTAGTTATAGAAACACTGTGTGATATTTTAAGATGGAGAATTTATATTTGAAAATCCTGGTTGCCAGTATTTCCTGAGATCCTGGCGATCATGACCATCATTTCCAGTTGGCATTGGTCACCATATCTGTGACTGCCGATCCCATTTGGGTGGCAGTGGAAGGCAGTACAACGTCTTTACATTTCTCCACCAACCTGGTGTTTATATTACTTTTGAATTTCCCTTAAGGGAAATTCACTTAAGGCCATCGTTGGGTAAGGTTGGGCTATATTTCTTACATCTGCATATGCCTCCTGTTGCTTTTACTAAATCACATATAAACAAGCAAAAAAATAAATTATGAAATGGAGCGAACACAGGTTTTTTCTTGACACATGTGCTGTCAGCTGTTTTGTCACCTTACTTAATGTTTTAGAAGAGGCATTTGACCATTGAAACATGACAAACAATAACAACAACTGTGTTAGAGCGAGCATTCTCCCCTGTTTAGGAATTCTCCCCTGGCAAGTTTTAGGGATCTTGCCCAACAGATCCTTGCCTCTTGTAGAGGTAGGGAAATGGGCTGAGAATGTGGCATATGGATTTGGTGCAAAACAACTGTTTCCAAGAGTTATTTCAGAAAATAGTGGTAGAAGAAAAACATATTTTTTTTTGTTTTACACATTAATTTATTTGGGTTAAAAGGGTAATTAGTTAAGAAGTGAAGCTATCCAAAATCAAAAGCAAGTAAGAACCTTACCAGAAAGTAAACACATGACAACAAAACAACCCCTAGGAGTCACTGAAGAGAAGTGTGCAGAAGTGAAAACCTGTCATGCTCCTTCTATGAGAAAAGAAAAAAAAAACAGAAATGATTTTGATTGGTCATCCCAATTTAGTGAATTCAGCTTCTGTACTATATTATCTGTATAGACCCACATATATGTAAATGTAGTCACAAATCACCTAGTGACCTGGATATGTTCTAACAGGTGCATTTTCAGATGATATGCAAGCATTATAGCATGTGCACTTACCTAAAGAAGGCTGTAATGTCACCAGTTGCTCACATCTGATAGGACCATTATCATGTGTTGCCTCTTGATTGACATGTCATAATGTAGAACATGAATATACATATCCGTACATAATAACTTCTATATAACATATATACACACACCTCAGCCACTGTAAGTCATGCTAAAATATTTATATTTTAAGAGAAAATTGTAAATTATTGTGTGTAATCTATCAGATATCATTCTTGAAAAGAAACTCTTAGAGGTTCCGAATTCAATAGAAATAGCATGTTTTGTTTATTCTCTGTAAGCAAAAATTAATCTCTCAGCACAGAGATCTCACCAGAGTTGGTTTGCAAAATACAACTTTCCAAATAGATTTACTACCAAGTGTCTCTGGCCTCTGGCCCTGTTTTTGTATACACATACTAGTAAAAAGTTGCTCCTGCAAGTTAAGTGAGGTTCTCCTAGCCCATTCTTTGGAACCTACCTACACATTCTGAGAAAATGAGTTCTGTTCCATGAACAATTGGAGGACGTGCTAACTCCAGCATGGGAGCATTTACTCAGTTTTTATGTCAAGGCGTTGTTACAATGGCATCAGAAATCACTGAAAAATTATTTGGCCTGAAAAGCAAATTTGATTTCTGGTAGTAGAATATCAACCACAAAAATCTGTACCTTTGTTATTTATTTTATTCTTTATAGCACTGGAATATATTAGAAGTGCCCTGTGAATCTTTGCCGTTGGTAGTTCACATTTGTGAAAGCTTGAGTTTTTACATGTATTTGTGGCTTTTGAAAAAGTATAAGTTTTTAAAGATGTCATTTAGAAAATTGTATTTCTTTTCAGTTAGGGTAATACTGTATGCTGACATATACAGAAATTCCACAATGAGCCTCCTCCCATCAACTAATACATGTTAATAAAAGTCTTAATGTGCCAGATGCTGGTGGCTAACCATCTGTAAATCCTAGCTACTCAGGAGGCTGAGATCTGAGGATCACAATTCAAGTCCAGCCTGGGCAGGAAAGTCTCTGAGACTCTTTCATCTCCAGTTAATCACACAAAAGAAACCCAAAGTAGTGCTGTGTCTCAAGTTATAGAGTGCTAGCCTTGAGCAAAAGGAACACAAAGGCCCAGGCCCAGAGTTCAAGCCCCAGAAGTAGCAAAAAAATAAATAAATAAAAAGACGAAAAATAAAGTGTCTAAAATGGTATTTTTTTCTGCCTGGTGGCTTGTGCCTGTAATCCTGGCTGCATAGGTGGCTGAGATCTTAGGATTACTGTTGGAAGTCAGCCTGGGCAGAGAAGTCTGTAAGACTCTTATCTTCAGTTAACCACAAAAAGCTAGAAGTAGGGCTGTGGCTCAAATGGTAGAATGCTAGCCTTGAGCACAAAGAACAGCACAGGCCCTGCGTTTCAAGCTCCAAAACAAACAAAAATTAAATTTTAAAAAAAAGCACAAAAAACTATGTTTTAGAATTCAGTCAGCTTAGCATCTGTATATGTAGCTGAGTTGTTTAGCTAACATTGTTGTGTCTGTCCAATAAACAGTTTCAATTTCTAATTCCTTCATTCACGTGCACAGCGTGTATTTTCCCTACAGAATCGGAAGCAAGAGCATTGGCTAAAGAGAGGCAAAAAAAGGACAATCACAACTTGAGTAAGTCGGTTTTGTTTATGTCCCCTGTGACATTTGATCTTCATAGACCAAAACATTTTCCAGAAATCGATCTTGGTAGTCATTAAAGGTACCTTCTAGGGAAGAAAAAAAATTTTTTTCCAGAGAAAATAAAAAAAACACATGGTATATATTTTATTTCTGATCAAAATGAATTTTGTGTATAGACTTATTTTCTCTGGAGAGTTCCTATTTCTTTCATTTGTTTATAGTAGGGGATTTTTGTTTTTGAGGAGATTTGATCCTCAGCTCCACAATTATAAATGCTTTTCACACTGCTTCTGATAAACAGGGATTACGGGATCTCCTCCTCCTGTGAGATTCAGAAGAGAAAAGCAGCAACTCAGAAGGGGACTGTCTTTATCTTGTCTGAAGAAAATCTGATAGCATCAAAGATACTTTATTGAATTTACTCAATGAAATCGTCAAGCTCTTCCTATAAGAACTTAAGTTCATGTTTAGTATCCTCAGGGAGGCGGGCACAGTGAAAATGACCGGGCGTGGAGGCAGGAGCTAGTTTGTACGTGAATCTCTCACCTTCCAGTCTCAAGTCATCGTTTTCTAAATTGTAAAATCTGAGTCCTATATAAACACTTTTCTCCTGACACGACAGGATAGAAAAAGGCAGATTTTTGAGCCCCAGGAATGATTGTGGTTTGTTTCAGTTTGATGTGTCTTTCCATAGCCTTTTTTCTGTGCACTTAATAGACATCCGTACAATACATGTGCACACAATGAAAAGCGCTGTTGTATGTGAGCACAAAACATCAGCTTTGTACCATCTATATATTGTTACCACCTGACTTTAAAAAAAATGAACATTGTGTTCTGAAGACCTTTTGCTGTCAGAAACCTAAATCAGTCTTCTTTTCAAATATTATTGCATTGGCCACTTGCTAGTGGCTCACACTTATAATCGCAGCTACTCAGAGGCTAAGATCTAAGGATCATGGTTCAAAGCCAGCTCAGGCAGAAAAGTCTATGAGGTTCTTATCTCCAAATAAGCACCAGGAGGCTGGAAATGGAGGTGTGGCTCAAGTGGTACAATGCCATTCTTGAGCAAAAAAAGCTAAGGGACAAGCCGCAGGCCCTAAGTTCAAGTCCCAGTATTGACAAAAGTTTTTTAATTAAAAAATTAAAAAAATCCTATTGCATGGTATTACACAGTGGACTACAAGCCACTTGATAAGTCTCCTACTGCTATGTGTTTGTGTTGTTTCTCCTTCTTGCTATTAAAAACATTTATGCATACCATTTTGTGTGCAGACTGGTGGGGTCCTGGAAGGTCTTAGTTTTTACTCTTACTTGTTGCAGCCTCCCCAGTTTCTATGTCAGGTATAGTAAGTTTTCTTCATCCTTTAATCAAAAGTTATAGACCACTGTCTCTAAGGTCTTTCCTAGTTTCCAAATCATTTTAAGATATTTTATAAGATATTTTCTCTTTTAACTTAGAAATAAGATAATGAGCCATTATCCAAAACTTCATGTAAGTGAGATATGGAAAAAGAAAGTTAGATCTTGTCAAGAATGATATTTACATATAAGTAGATGCCGAAACTCTCAGAGTTGTCAGTAAATTCAAACCCAATAAGCTGCAATTCATGGCTCTGAAACAATCATCATATCTCATCTAACCAGTGGAAATTAATACCCAGGGTTGGATTGCCCTTTGACCCACTTCTTTCTCTTCTAGGAATTTATCTTTTAAGAATATTTGCCCACATTTTTTTACTTGTTCAACCATTCATTCAACCATTACTGTTGACCCACGCCCAGTTGTGTATGGGAACTTTCCTACAGAACTGAACCAGTCAACGTGTTTTCCACATCACATTCAAGTCAGGAGTTTTCTACCAGATGCTACTCAGGGGAGGAGCCTGTGGTGGAGTTGTTTGTGTATATGCTGTGCTAGTGCAGGTGTGTTTATGTGGATGCATGGACAAAGATCTAGAATTCACCTTTAATGGTGATGGGCACAAGTTGTACCTATAAGTTGTATAGTTCACTTTCAACCTAGTGTCTAGTTAGTACCAATTTGATACTTTTAACAAAAAGTTTACAAGCTTCCTGTTGCCTTTATAATAAATATTTAGCAAGGAAGTCGTACACTAAAAATAGAGTATGCCACTTCTGAATGTTGACAGTGAAAGGTGACAACAATGTTGACAATGTTTCTCACTGCTAAGTGAGAAAAGACAGATGCACACTCATTTTTAGTGTAATTCCACTTCAAATGTGTTGTCCTTTTGTGCCAGGCACCTATGGTTGCTTACAATGCGATAAATATTGAAGAACACTGTAAGCAGTTTAATAAAATATGCAACTATTGGATGGTGCAACGTTCCATGAGGATATGAAGGACAGCCTGGGAACATGGGTGTGGGGCATGTTGAGTCAGTTTTAAATAGGATGACCTGGGAACTCTCACAAGTAAATTTGAGTCCCTGTCTGGAGGACTTGAGGACAGGTGAGGATACCTTGAGGAAGTATTCCAGGCAGGGAGAAGACCATATGCAGTCCTAAGATGAGGAATGTATCTGGCCCAGTTAGTGGAACAAAAGGGAAGGAACACCAGTGAGTCACCTTGGCAGAGGAGTGGAAAGTGAGATCAGAATAGTATGAGCAGTCCACTCCTTGTAGGCCATCTAGATACTTGACTTTTCTCTAGACTAAGGTAGAAGTGCTGGGAGGGTTTTGAGTATGGGTTGGCATGCTGTGACTTACATTTTATCAAGATCCCTCTGCCTGCTGTGTTATCACTAGTCCAGAGTAGGTAGGGAGTAGTGGGCATGGAGAAAGCAGAGATGCCAGCCAGAAGTGTTAGAGTAATAATTCAGGCAAGGAATGATGGCAGTATCTCTCAGGGACTGATGGAGGTTGGAAGAAAACAGAGTCCGGAAACATTTTCAAACCAGAACATCACATTTGATGGTAGGTGAGGGTTGTGAGAGAAAGAGAAATACAGAACGGATTCACATTCTGGCCTGAGCCACTGGAAGGATGTTGTTGCTATTAAATGAGGAAGGTTTCAATTTAGCCTCCAAACAGAATGTGATAGAAAAGATCAGAAGCTCATCTCTGGAGGATCTGGGCTGTCTGGTGGATCTCCACATAGAGATGTCCAGTGGTCAGGTGTATGAGAGTTCCAGAGGAATAGCTAGACTGGAGATAAATGTACAGAAGCCAAGCAAGCTATTCAAAACCAGGAGTTAGAGATTTCCAAAAATTAAAAGTAGATCAAAAAGACTTCATCCACTGTGTATGCCTACACTGAAATGTATTTTTATTTTTAAAGCATAAAAATAATCACAAGGGATATATAAGACAACAGTATCCTACATATATTCACTATATATATTTTATTATTGTTTGAATGATTATAGGCTGAGGAAAAGCAAGAAGAATGTCATGTTTTAGAGTTTTAGAGGATGTTAGCAAGTAGATTTGGAATTTAGAAATTTCTTTGTCAGCACATTTGACTGTCACTTGTTTTTGTATTTTATAGTAGTCTAATGATAAGACATTATCTATATAACCAGCTTAATGACTGGAATACTCGGCCACGACAAACTTTGAATTTATATAGTGAAAGTTTTGAATAATATTTATCTACAAGTTTAGAGTATCAGTGGGTCAAATATAGGTATATCTTAGGGTATTCAAGGTAAACCTAATTTACTGGGCCATTTGGAATTTTATTTGTTAGTTGAACTAAGTTAGACACATTTATTATCTTATAAGTCAAACTATGTTATCCTCCAAGGAGAAAGCGATAACTTAGTTTAACATAAGAGCTGGACTTGTGGGTTAGAAATTCTGCTAAGTTACATGGTATTGTTAGAAATGTTAGATTTAAGTTCTAGGGCTTTGCTACACAGTATGGTGGCCGCAGGCCCCTTACCCCTGTTGACCCTCTGAAATGTGAGTAGTCTTAAGTTGTGATGTGCTGACATATAAAACAGCTGGATTTCAAAATTTAGCATAGGATAAAGAAGGTTCCCCAACTAATGTATACGTTTTTGTATGCCTTCTATCAATTTACCTACTAAACTGATAATGGTTTAGAAATAATGGGTTTAATGGGGGGAGAAGGGGAGATGGGAGGTCAGGGATGGTAAGGGGAAACAAAGGGGGAGGCAACAATGCTTGATAAGAAATGTACAAAATACCTTGCTCATGTAATTGTAACCCCTCTGTATGATATTTTCACAATAAAACAATTTATTAATAATCATTTTAAAAAATTTCAGGAGATGGAGGACAATGCAAAAACCTCCCAATGACTGACAGTGGACTGGTTTTAAGGTTAGAGTTAGATGGAATAAAAAGATACCGAAAATTAATATAACCTAGAAGAAAATCAACACTTTGAAAACTCTGAAATGTTAACACTTGTCATTAAATGCACTTTAAGATATTAAAGAAAATAAAATAATATTAATATTACCTCTTTTACCATTTTTAATAGGGCCACTAGGGTATTTAAAAATTACATATGTAACTTGTCTTGTGTTTCTTTTAAGCAGTAGTGAACTACAACAAGGGTTTTTTGTGTTTTTTAATCTCATGAGCCAAGACACTTTTATATGTTTTTGAGCAGTTAAAAGGAAATCAAAAGAAGAATAATGTTTGCTGACATGTGAAAGTTGTGTAAAATTCACACTCAGCGTCATAAAGAACCCTTATGATTTTCATCAGTGCATTTGCATTATAGAAGATATACTCAGTTGATGTTATTTTGAATCTCGTCAGCAAAAATTGGTGGAAATTTGTTTTCTCTCTTGTTATTAGTACAGTATGCATAATCCTCAGTTTTGGAGCTTTGCCTCCAAGCAAAAAGAGCTCACTCTCTGAGCTTCTGCATCAAGTTTGCTAAGCTCTGCTATTCTCTAGTGTTAAGTTTGAGTTCTGCTAATTCTCTTATTGCTAATGATTGTTTTATCATTTATACTTGAGGTCCCTGGGTTGTTATAGCATCAGGTGAGAAATCATGTATCTAAGGGCTTTGTAAATGCTGCAGTCCTATACAAAGTTAGCTCTGGTTTTTTTGTTTTTGGGTTTTTTTTTTGTTTTGTTTCTTTGTGCATTAGCCACAATATAAAGGAAGAAAATGCTAAGGACAGGGGAAACTAGGTTGAAGTTTACATTGTCCTGACCTGGTGAAGTTAATGTGAACATACCTTTAATGAGATGTGCTAAATGCATACGTGGTACTGTTACTAATAGACCTTTCCTGTGCTCTTTTCCTGAAGTTGAACGAAGAAGAAGATTTAACATAAATGACCGCATTAAAGAACTAGGTACTTTGATTCCCAAGTCAAATGATCCGTGAGTACTATTGCATGTTAATCTGTCCCATATATTTTTCAGACCTTTGTTGAAAAATATAGTATTAACAAAAATTGAAAAAGTCCCTGCCCCCTTTTCCTTTGGTTTTTGAAATACTACTTACATCTTTCTTTGCATTAATTTCACCAAAGTAAATTTTAAGACTTTATACTGAGGCGACTGATTGGCTTTGAGTATAAGGAACTGGTCTTTCTGAAATTCAAGAATCTTTAGAAAATGAATTTCACTGGAAAAAATTCTCTTAAAAACTGTTGAATTCTCAATAACTGTTAAAACAATTTGTAGATAGTGTGCTCTTAGGCTTATTTCAGTATCTCTAAATAGGCACTGATGAGCAGAAACTGAAAACTTTTATTTTTATTTATTTATTTTTTTGGGTCCTGTTGTGGAGCCTGAACTCTGGACCTGGGCACTGTCCCTCAGCTCTTCAGCTCAAGGCTAGCACTCTACTACTTGAGCCACAGTGCCATTTCCGGCTTTTTTCTTTTTGCTTATGTGGTGCTGAGGAATCGAACCCAGGGCCTCAGGCATGCAATGCAAGCACTCTACCACTGAGCCACCTTCCCAGCCCCTGAAAACTTTTAAATTCAACAATATTCAAAAAGACAAAAGGTCAAATTTTAAAAAAAAATAAAATTTTGCATACTCTTTGTATGTTTTAACAATCTGGAAAAATAAAAGAGTAAAATTTAATTTATTAAGTACAAGTCAGCTCATTGGAGTTTCAGCCTTTTATTTCTCTCTACCTCCCCTCTCAGAGATAATGGCAATAAAGATAATTTTCCATACCACCTTAAAACTACTTGCATCGTCAGCAAATAGAACAACAAATATACAATTTTTATCCATTAGAATTTGGCCCATTTGAAGTAGGGGGCTAAGAGGATATATGTATTTTAATGGCCCCCACAGGCATTTTCTGAAATTAGCCTGTGAATATGACCTTTAAGCTCCTAATAAAAGGTAAAGATGAAATCAAGCATTATTCATGCTAGGCTTATAAAATTTGCTATTCCCATTATTGTCAGGGAATTTGTAACAAAATAAAATAAAACCATTACCTATTGTGAAGTGATTTGATGAATGTGCCAGCACAATTTTCATCTTCAACATTTGGTTTTCCTCGGTTTCAAGGAAAGGCATTTTCCAACTGAAAACACTGAAATTCTCAGTTGTGCAGCACAAATTTATCCTACTAAAGGGCCGTGACCTTCATTTCCTATGGCCAGTCTTGCATGATAGTTGAAATTGAATTCCCATTTTCCTGTTCTTTATCAGCTTCCACTTTTTAGCATATTCTTTTAAACGGTGGCCTGTGATTCTCTTTGGTAACATATTATAAAATTATGGGGCTGCAGAGAAAGCCAGTATTTGCATATCTTCTTTCCCCATTGTATGAGATTACTTAGGTGTTTATAATCTGAACTGATAATGATCTCCCTCTGGAGGCCTTGTTCTAAGATGAAACAGTATAATCTGGACGGTCTTTTCCCACACTGGGATTCCAGAATGTGCCTTTTGTGAGGGCCCATTCTGTCTGATTCATATCTCCGCCCTTATGCCTTTCCGTCCCACAGCAAGTATGCTTTAGTTAATTTCATATATGGGAGACCTCTATATACTTCTGTATGACAAAAATGGTTTCTCTTATTACCTAGAAAGCCCTTTCCTTAAGCCCAGAATTGTGACTGACTAGGTCTCTCACATAGAAGTTAAACCCTAAGATAACCAAACCTTAAAATCCAAATTGCTACTTGGCTTAGAAGTTCTAATTGTAGTTTTTCCAATTCTAGAGGCCCAGGCAAAGCATTGTTCATTATAAATATGTTTCTCTCTGGCTGCTGAAGTTTTCGTTACTTTGAATTTAGCCCTGAATGTTAGGTTTCTGTACATATGCTGGATAGCTCAGGACACCTCCCTAGCTTGCCATCTTGGTGCTCAGATCCCAGGGACTCACACTAGGAATTCTCTGGGGGATTGACTTGTCCTCCTGGGGGAACTTAGGTTTTGTTCTAGGATAACCCATGTGAGGATCTGTTACTAGGTGATTTATTTCAATGGTCCACGGTTCTATCATACCACTGATCTGCTTTTAGCAGTTGTAGGTGACAAGCTCAATAATACTCCATACATCAGATGGTTTTTGTCATTATGTTATCATCATCATCACAATGGGTATTGTCTGTAAAAGAGCTCAAATTAATTCCAAGCAGTATAGAAATATACATAAATATAATTCTTTTTGGGGGGGTGCTCTAAAATTTTTTAAAGAGCTTTCACTTACATTTTTATGGGGGGGGGGGTCTTAGCTTTCTTACATATAGCACATAGCACTTACTGATTAAGAACTGAGAAGCACAAAGCTCTGGCTAGCTAGATGACAACTCTCTTACAACATATCTGAAGGTACTTAGTTCCTAGTTAGTAAAAGATAATCGTATCAGTACCTACACAATGATGATGTTATTATTACCTGAGTTATAAAACACTTCAAAGTTTATGTGGCAACTTAGTAAGTGCTGTAGATAGTTATTTTAATTTTTAATTATTGTATGGAGCATTTAACACAGTGCCTGAATTATGGTGTAGATTTTTCACTGTATATTCATATAAGATGTCTCCTGGCTCCAATAACACATCTATGACATTGCTCATACAAGTGTGGCATCATTTTGTAGAGGCTGAAATGGATACAGAGAGAGATTAGAGGCTTGGCAGTACATGCTAAACATCTCACAGTCAAGCAGTGGGATCTCACAGGACTTTTTTCTTCCATAGCTTATTCTGTCTTAAGTGAGTAAACTTTTATTGTCCTAGCAACCTTTTCCTATTTAACATAGTGTTTAGGGATACTGGTTGGTAGTCAACAGGATGGAATGTAAGTCTTGATTTTTTCCATCTTACATAAGTTTTGTGATGTGGGACAAGAGACTGTCTTGAGATCCCTCTTTCCCACTGCGCCCTTCCCTGCTGTTCAGGTGCTTATGTGGATCAAGTATGGGAACTTACACCCAGTGGCAGGCAGGGTCTGTAAGCATTTATTGGTTAGAGCTGAAGGACTGGAATGTCTTGAATACTGACTTTTCACTATGTCTCAAATCCTCAAAAGGTCCTTCCATTTCTTTTTGTCTTTTTTTTTTTCTTTGTCCCAGGGACATGCGCTGGAACAAGGGAACCATTTTAAAGGCATCCGTGGACTATATCCGAAAGCTGCAACGAGAACAGCAACGTGCAAAAGAACTTGAGAACCGACAGAAGAAGCTGGAGCATGCCAACCGACACTTGTTGCTCAGAATACAGGTACCTGCCATGCTGTGTATTAATAATACAGTAGATTACTGACGGCAGGATGGGAGGAGGAAGAAGATAATGAGCCATAAGGGAGTTGGCGTATATAATCCTATGTAGGATACCCTTACTGTTTGGAGAGTCTGTGTTTGTGACATTGCTTGCTTGTAAAAAAATGTATTGGTCGCTCCCAAATCAGCACTGGTGTTACTTTCCGAAGTGGTTTGTACACAGGTGCAGAGTGACAAATTTGAGTAGCCTATTCTGCTCATTTACAGTAGAGGTCAGCAACTCTGCCTGAACATGGTGGCCTGCCCTCCTTGCAGCTGTCATTACTATAAACAAGTTGGCCTATTAAGTATTATGTTTCTCACATCAGTTATTTTTATGTTTAGTTTATTTTTTGGCAACGTTAGCCTCGCACTTCCTTGGCAGGTGTACCGTCACTTAAGCCATACTTAACCCTTTTGTCCTTTAGTTATTTTTCAGATAAGGTCTTGTGCTTTATTGGTCCAGGACCAACCTGGAACCAAACTCCTCCTACCTATGCTTCCTGTGTCACTAGGATGACAGTCGTGTACCAGCTTGAGATGATGTTGTTGAGATGGATTCTTACTTTTGGCTGGGGGTAGCCTCAGACCATAATCCTCTAGATCTCTACCTCTGAAGTAGCTGGGACATTTTTTGTGCTTAAAATGAGATGGTTTCAAGTGTTATCTATTGTTGCTAAGGGCAAGAGGACTATGTTGTGCCTTACAGAGAAAACACAGGTGTTAGATAAGCTTCAGTCAAGCAGAGGTTACAAGTCTATTGGTTTTGTGCTTAGTATTCATGATTCTACAGCATATGTCAAATAAAAGGTATCTTAGAACAGAAATATATATATATATATATATATATATATATATATATATATATATGTGTATAAACCAAAGCTATGTGTTGATCAGTTGATGAAAATATTGTGACTAGGTGATCCTATTCCCTACATCTCCCCTCTCTGACAGGGGCAATGATTCTATGTTCACTAATTCAGTGTTTGCATTGACTTTGTAGAACATACTATAATGAACATTGACAATACATGTTAGATAGAAGATGTTTAGTATTCGTAGGCAATAAGGAACAGTCAAACCCATGTTTTTAGGGAAAACAGGATATAGCTATTGGAGTTAGCCATAGGTAGTGCACTTATGCCGTATATACATTTCACTCAAACTGTCCACTTTTGGAGAGAGAAATATTAAATAGTGTTAATTTGCCTGTTATTCCACCTGCTACTCACTACCACATACTCACCAGTATACAGAGGAGCCCTTTAGAAAATTGGCTCTTAGTACTTGGCTTCTGCTGTGTTTCAGGATACAAGCACCTCTGAAGTTGTTGTCAAGGGCCGACTCTGCCATTGATCAGAGTGCCATACAAGCCTAGTTTTAGGTCACTTGCAGCCTTTGACCAACCCGTAAGAGTCAATGACCCTATCTTCTTGAATAGATGGACCTCCTTTTATAGATTTACTGTAGCACCGGGGTTGCCTCTCAAATTCTCAATGTCACTATTCACAGTTATTTAATGGAACAGCTGTACAAAGCTTGACACCTTAGACCCCATCATGTTTCTCCTAGTGGTGTTCATCCTGGATGCTCAACTTACTGAATAGAGCACTTCATTCACAATAATGGTTTCCAGGCCTCCCAGTGTTCCACAGAACTACATCTTCCGTTCACAGCTGAAGCACTTCCCAGCCATGGGGCTGGAAGGTGGAAGGTGGTTCAAATGTAGGGATGCTCTTAGAATCTCAGTGATGAAGTAATGAAGAGGAGAAATCATTTCCTCACCCCCTTTTATTTTTGGCTTTTCTTGTTTGTTACAAGTTTCAGCTCTTCCATAGGTAGCTGTAGGCATTTATTTAATCTCTGGTACCTGTTATATACCTATTTGTAAATACAGTTTATGCTAATGTGTTATTTTTCTTATGCAAGTATTGGAATGTAAGAAGTAGATTTAAAAGAGAAGTTTGATTTGCTTTTAGTTCAAGTTTGCAAACACGTATACTCCTGTGAAAGACGAATATTGTGAAATGTGCATACTGGAAATTCCACAGTGATGATGTCTTCGTTGTTTCTCATGACTGTGAGCTGTGAAGCTGCCTTAGGATGCCTGCATAGTGGAGAAAACACTGGTTAATTATTAGCAGGGCTCTTTGGGGCAGTAGAGGTAGAATGCTACAGATTTACCTCTCTTGGAAATATCTGCTTTACTCAGCTGACATTTTTCAGTAAACAGCAGAGGATTAGAGTAGGTTTGTTTGTTTTTCGAAAAGACAATCTGAGTGTGTAGAGGTACTGTTGCTATTAGCTTGTTGGGGGGTCATTACAAGAGGCCCTGTTGTCAGCTTGGGCCTAAGGGCTTTATTTCATTTTCAATCTAAGTGATGCATACAGAAATTGTCACAGAAGAGGGAGCATGAAGCCCTATTATCAGAGGAACTGTCGTTTTATTAAACAGCCCAGGGGTTTAAAATGATGTCTGGAGAGACTCTTTTTTCTGGAGCTTGTGTAAGGGAACATGCATGACTTTTAAGGCTCCCCTCATTTCTAGGTTTGTGGGCAAAGGCTAAGAGGCCATCATGAGGACAGTTCTCCTCTAGTAAGTCCAGAGGACTTGATACATATATATACCAGATTTTTGTATGTTATTGCATCACAAATTTGGATTGATTGACAATAAAGAGCCCCAGTGCTTCTTAGGGATCAGTTGCGTTCCCATGTTTCATCGTAGGGGTGTCTAGGGATACACAGAAAAGAAAAGGGGGAAGAACTTACTTTGAATGAGTGTTGAAATGAAGTCCTAAGAGTCGCCTAGATAATTAGAAAGTATACCCATCAGCCAGATCTGTTACTTCAAAGTGCCACTGACTGGGTAGTTGAGACAGCAGAAAGGGGTGAGCTCATCATTCTGGACGCTGGAAGCTCTAGTCAAGGTGTCAGCGGGTTTGTTGTTTCTGAGGCCTTTGCTCGGCTGGCAAAGAACCACCTTCTCCCCGGTCTTCAGGGCCTGCTCTGAGTGTGTGGCACACCTTTTCTTCTTATGACACCACTCTTGTTGGGTTAGATCAACCAGTGCAACCTTATAATTCACCTCTTTAAGGGTACAGTCTCTCAATAAAATTACATCGCCAAGTATTGGAGGCTAGCACTTCAACAACAAAATGTGGGAAGGACACCGTTTAGCCCCTGATAAGAAGGAATGTGAAGGAAGTGTAGGAGGGAACCAGTCTCTTTATGCATGAGAACTAATTTGTTGAATTTTTTTAGAAAACGATTGCCCTTGCCCAGGTTGAGATAGGATAAATGATGCTTCTGAAGCTTCAGTTGTTGTGTTACCATGTACAAGTTTTGCCATCACCCACCAAACTTTACTTCTGGATATCCCTAGAGTTTTAGTGCTTTTTTTTTTCATTGTACCCCTCATAGACCAAAAGAAACATTAGTTCTGAATAACTTACAGAACATTTAGGCCTTCACAGCTTAGTAGCTATTTGGGGGGTGAGGAGGAAGTAAAGCATAAAACCTGGAAGAAAAAAGAACGTTTCAAATTTTATTTTATCTTTTAAGTAAGTACAGTAGCTGTGAATGAGATTCGTGGGCCTGCGGGGCACCACACTGAGTCATGCAGATAGGCTGTATTCCAGATTACGTACAGTGAACCTTGTCTCCTACTGCATGCAGAGGCTCCTGTGGTCCTAGCCATAACACCTGCTCCCCCCCCCCCCGCGCCCCCCCCCCCCCCCCCCCGGCAAAGCAAGCAGTGGTATGATGTAGCTGAAAAGTATGCAGTACAGCCTCAGGAAATCTTTCATGTTTTAGCATTATCTTGAAGTAGTTGGACAAAAAGGTTTCAGTTCAACGTTTTCGTTTATGATTACAAAGCATTCTTGGTCAGTGTTAACCTTTGGTTATTCCTCACCATCTCTCCCAACCTCACCTGGCCCTCGAGTTACCTGGTACCATTTCCACATGTGCGCATTGAGTATTATGATACAGCCACCCATCCTCTCTCTGTCCGTTCATCTTCTCTTAAATCTTTGAGCATCTTCAGGTCAGTACCTCAGTACACAGCTTAGGGACCATGAAATTATGTTACTATTTACTAAATATTTGTCTATTACTAGCTTGCATTTAAATTTCTTTTATTGGGCTGGGATGTAGTTCAGTGGCAAAGTGCTTGCCTAGCAAGTACAATGTCCTGGGTTCAATTCCTAGTACAAAAAAAAAAAAAAGACAAGAAAATATACAGTTCAGTTTCTTTTCTTTTTCTTCCTATTGTTGGCTAATCCTCATTTAAAATTTTTATTACAAAGGGGCATCTTTGTAATATATTGCCTTATATTACATTTAATATATAAGATGTAATATATTACATTATATAATGTACTTTAATCAAATTCACCTATTTTCTTTCATTTTTAAAATTAATTTATTTTATTATAACGGTGATATATAGTGGGATTACAATTACATGAGTCAGTAATGAGTACATTTCCTTTCATACAGAGTCTCTGTTCCCTCGTTCTCTCCCAGGCCTTCCCTCATGCCTCTACCCACCAGTTGTATAATTCACTTCCATCAGTGTCCAGTGAGCTCCACGGCCGCACGTTTTCACCCTTTACCCTCCAGTTCTGCATCCTCCCCCCCCCCCCCCCGCCCTTCTGAAGATATACATGTGAAATAAAGAAGGCAGAATTACAAAAAAAAAAGGAAATGAATATTAGATCTATCCCTTTTCTTCTTTTAATAGTGTTTGGTGGGTTTCATTTAGCTATTTCCATATAAATTCTAGAGTATTCTAGAATATTGACCCTACATCCTGTCCCATTCCTCACATTTGATGTCTTTCTTGCCTCCTAAGAGCTGCTGTTTTACATTCATGAATGTATTATTATTATCATCATTATTTTTATTTTAGATCTAGATTTTACATATGAAAACATGTGACATATGTCATTCTGAGCATGTATTGTCTCACTCAGCATGATTATATCCAGTTCTATTCATTTTCCTGCAAAAAGCATCCTTCATGGCTAAATACTTCATTTGTGTGTGTGTGTGTGTGTGTGTGTGTGTGTGTGTAGCACATTGTGTCATATTGAAAAGAAGGTCAGCATCCAGAAAACATATAACAAATGTTAATGATGTTGCAGAGGAAAAGGTACCTTGCCTATGCTCTTGGTAGGGATGTAAATTACTCAGGCCACTATGGAAATCAGTATGGAAGTTCCTCAGGAAACTTAACAGTAGAACTACCAGATGATCCTGTGCCACACTCTCAGACATATAGCCAAAAAAGTGTAAATCAGTGTATTAGATACCTGCACACTCATGTTTATAGCAGCTTATCCTCATTTTGAACATGTGGCAGTCTCTATTTTTAATACACCTAAAAAGCCAACTCACATGCTACCAGTTGTGTTGATACTGTACTTGGGAAAGAATAGAGTTCATTAATGTTCAAAAGCGACACAAGCCTACTTTAAGAATTTATTGCTGTCCCTCTGTCTAATTTTAATAGTTTTTTTTAAGGAATTAGATTTAGGTTCCTAGTAGCTCTGAGTGAAAGCCCCACAGTTCCCACATTCACCCTTACCCCCTTCTACGCATGCCTGGCTCCCCCTTTACCAGCCTTCCCCCACCAGAGTGGCATATTTCTGAGAAGTGATGAGCCTGCCATGACATTCATTATCCTCTCCCATCCTTAATTTATATTCCTCTCGGCACTGTGCGTTCTGTGGGTTTGGGCAAACATCTACCAACATATGCCCACCCACCACGAATAGAACCACATAGAACAGTTTCAGTGCCCTAACACTCGTTTGCGCTTTACCTATTGCACTGTCTGACTTCGACTTCTCTTGCAGGAGCTGGAAATGCAGGCTCGAGCCCACGGACTTTCCCTAATTCCGTCCACCGGCCTCTGCTCTCCTGATTTGGTGAATCGGATCATCAAGCAAGAACCAGTTCTTGAGAACTGCAGCCAGGATCTCCTGCAGCACCAGGCGGAGCTGACTTGCACCACCACCCTTGATCTCACCGATGGCACCATCACCTTCAACAGCAGCCTGGGGACTGGGCCTGACAGCAACCCCGCCTACAGCGTCCCCACAAAGATGGGATCCAAACTGGAAGACATCCTGATGGACGACACCCTCTCCCCCGTGGGCGTGACCGACCCGCTCCTCTCCTCCGTGTCCCCGGGAGCTTCCAAAGCCAGCAGCCGGAGGAGCAGTATGAGCATGGAAGAAACGGAGCACGCGTGTTAGCGCCACACCCCCTCTGACAGCATCACCGACAGCTCCTTTTCTCTCCATTAGTAGACTTCATAACTTAACCCGAAAGGGTTTTCTTGATAATTTTCCTTTAATATGAATTTTTTTCATGCTTTATCAATAGCCCAGGATATATTTTATTTTTAGATTTTTGTGAAACAGACTTGTATATTCTATTTTACAGCTACAAATGCCTCCAAAGTATTGTACAGTAAAGTGCGCAGTATCTGTGAAACGAACTCTCCGGACAGGAGCTTTCTGAGCAAGAGGATTTTTGCATCAAAGAAGTATCTGTGTGCATTTTTTTATTATTATTATTCAGGGGAAAACTTGGCTTGAGATTTTTATGCTTGTGACTTCTTTGGCAATTACATGTAAAGTTTAATTGAAAGAATGTAAAGCAGCCCCCACTCCCACCCCTCCATAAAAACACAAAGAAGAAAAAGAGGAGAAGAAGAAAAAGAGGAAAAGACACCCATACTAACCTTTTTCCAGTTTATAAATGTATTGATTCATTGGTACTGCCTTAAAGACACAGTGCCATTCATTCTAGTATCATTTAGTCTTTATACTGCAAAGTATTTAACAAAATAGTATATATTGTATAAGACAAAAAAAATCACTCATTTTCATGAGGGTTGTCTGGTTAGAATATGTAACTGATACTAACCAAAATTGAAAGGAGCTAGTCCAAGGCTCTGAAGATTAGACCTGGGGTCCAGTCTTCCTTTTATGTGGTACAGGTACAGTTCTCTTCTTTAATGAGTGTGATCCGATTTTTTCATAAGATGTATTTTATTTTGAAGTGGAAGGGAATGTCCTCTCAAAGTAAAATACTGAGGAGCACTGAAAGTTCCCCTTTTTTTTCAATTTCATTTTTCTTGCTTTTTGATAAGACAACTGGGCATATTTCTAATTGGCTTTACTGTTTTTATTTTTAAATTCTGTTTCAGTCATCTGATTTGTACAGATTCTTTATTATCATCTTTCTTTTCAGTGTTTGTATTAATTTGTAAGAATTTGCATCTTAAAATAGCAAGTTTTCAATATTTTTTACAGCTCATTGGTGGTTTTCTGCATTCTTTGTACACCCAAGAAAGAAAACTTTTCTGCAAGGTCTTGCATTTAAAGCAAGCTTTGCAAATATTTTGTACATTACAATCTCACTCAAATACTGTTTTTCAGTACACTTAAGATGTAGTATTAATAGGTTTAAACCAGGCTTTCTAGAAAAAAATACACTTACATATTTATTTTTAGGATACGAAAATAGCAATATTCTTGGAAACTGATAACCACCATAGAGATGCTACATCCATTATGGCCATTTAAATTGGGATTTATTGCAACAAACTTGCTGGATCTTTTTTTTTTTCCTAAGAGAGAGAGAAAAAAATACTATATTGGCAAATCACTGTTACTTGTTAACAAGTTTCTTAACAAGCAGACATGTTGTAAAGTTAGTTTTGGTGCATTATCTACTTGTGTAGCCCTATGCAATAACAGTAGTGTTACAGATATCAAGCCTAGATGTTATACAGACAACTTATAGTGTTATAAGCCAGGCTGTTGGATGGATTTCACAGCAGCAGCCTACGATTGAATAGTGAGTGGCATAAAGCATATCCATTCAGAATGAAGTGCCTTAAACGTAGCAGTAGTCTCTTTTGGCCTAGCACTGACTGAACTATAAAGTCAGAGAAAGTCACATGATGGTATCCATAGTGAAAGGAACATGTAGCATGGTGCCTATGTAGACAATATAAGAGCTTCCAATTTTTCCTCCAGATATTTTTAATATGAAATATATTTTAGTGACAGAGTGCCAACTTCTTTCATCAGAAAACCTTATTCAGGAGGGTTTTTTTTAAGTGTTTAAATGTCAAATGTGAATTGGTGATGGATGATGAAAGGGCTTGAGAGAAGCGATTGTCAGATGTCTGAATGGATGGCCTAGGTGAAAATAATCAAGTGCATAGATCCCGTGCACGTCGGGCAATTGAGTATCCTTGGAAACATTGATGATGCTTTCAGTTTTATAGCTTTATTACTTAAGGGGGTAGGGAAAATAACTTCCCATTCTTTCAACCCCCTTAGTTGTATAGCTCTTTTCCTAGACTAGTAATGCAAATCTGCATGAACAGCTAATTGTACCATAGTGTTCATTGATACAATCATAGCATTGTCTATTTTTCTCTTCATATTTATATGGGGGAGAGGGGACTGGATACCCAAGTTGAAGATGGCAATACTATGGTGGTAGTTTTCCTTAGCTGATTTTGAAGGGTTTTTAAGAATAGAGCAAAGTTTCACAAAGTTGACTAACCCATGGCCCATGCTCCACCTATGGTGGAGCAATTGTATGTTCAGAAAGCTTTGTGGAGGAAGGTATGGCATTTTTTTACCACTGCCCTGAGTCTTGCAGCCTCTAAGCTTGCTATCACCTGCTTTCCTGTCTTTAGCCTCTTGAGAGACACCTGTTGGGCCAGGCAGATGAGCAAGGACAGGAAGGATGCAACCTTGGGGGTGGTTTTATTTATTTCTTTTTTGCCAAACAGTGTGTGGATTTGATTTAGGGACTAGTTGAGCCAAGAGGCAGTGACTTGAGCTTGTTTTTAACAAGGGAAGGATCCTGACCTCTCCCCTAATCCCTGGGTGCAGAATTGTAACTCAGGGTTGGGCCTCCCCTTTGGAGTGACCAAAATACCAAAATATTTCACCTGCCTCTAGGTAAGGCAATGGAACAAACCAAACTTTCTGACTTTGCCAAATACAAACTGTACAACCAACCTGGTCTTGTCTAGAGGATGACAAAGTTCTTTCTGGTTGTTTTTTAAACAATAAAGCAATAAGAACAATAAGATACATAGGATGTTAAAAGATACACAATAAAGCACAAAGGAATGCACTTATTAATACTTTGGAAAAATGCACTGGGGAAAAGTTGACGTTGCTAACAGTATAACAAACCCTGTTTCTTGATAAAAAATGACAAATGACTGTCTCTTATGGACGCTTGGTACTGTAATATTAACAATACTCACCGGCTGCTGGAAGCAGCAGTAATTTCTGTACGGTCCATAGCACTGTATATTATGGATTGATATTAATGTATCCAATGAAATAATGGAACTGTTGTTCTCCATAGCCTCATTAAAGAATTTGGTTTTTCACATGGTGGTGGCCAGTTGTATTTAGTTCACATGAATTTTGAATGATGTTTTGCCTTTATTTTTAAGAAGTAGAGCACATTTTTCCTTTGATATAATGAATAGCAAATTGCATGTTTGTTTATTCATCTATTTATTGTGGTGGCGGTAGTGGTGGTGGTGGTGGTGTGTTTTGTTTCATTTTGTTTCAGTCTTAGAGTCTGAGCAAAGTACCTGGGCACTGACCCTGAGCTTTTTTGTTCAAGGCTAGTGCTCTATCACTTGAGCCACAGCTTCCTGCTTTTTGCTGGTTAATTAGAGATAAGAGTCTCATAGACTTTACTGAACAGGATGGCTTTGAACTCCAGCCTTTTGGATTTCAACCTCCTGAGTAGCTAGGAGTACAGGCATGAGCCACTGGCACCCAGCTGCATGAATTTTTTTAAAAGGCCACCAGTAATATTTTTTTGTTTTAAATGCCCGTCTTAAGATGTTACTTTTTGCTGAGGAACATTTTTTCATTACTTTATGACGTGCACTGAAATGAACTATAATTATGCAGCTTTTCCCCTGCTCTGAATTTGGGGAGATTTTGAACTCCCAAATGTCAAGAATCCATTTTAGTTATAAGAGTTTTATTTAAAATGTTTCAGTGAGGGGTGGCTTTACAAAAAGAGAAATTGTCAGAGAAATCCTTGCATATTTACAGAAAAGATATTGGGTTTTTAAAATACAAATTTACAATAATGAAGGCTTAATATACCCAGCCTGCCAGCTCCTAGCTTTTTTTTTTAAATACAGTACTTAAGACTCATTTGATAAATGTTGGATTTGAATTGGGATGTGTCAGACAAAACATGCCTTTATTCCCTAGCTAGACCTTAAACTTCTGCCCTTTAAAAAAAAATATATTCTGGCTTAACCTCTGGAGAGAGCGAGCAAGAAACTTCCTGTAATGCTTCTAATCTGTCAACTTTTTCTGAAGTTTAATTTTTTTCTTAAATTATAATATACCATAATTGAGGCCTTTCTTTTTCAGAGTTATTTGAATTATTTATATTTCCCATAGAAATATGACTGTGTGAAGTCTTAAAATCATGTAAAGACTAGGAAGATTTCCTACCCGAACAAGAGAATTTTCTGGCAAAAGTAAAAGCAGGTAAGCTTTTCATCTTACAAGGGATATGCAGTTATACCTTAACATACATGTCTGCCTGTTGTTTGCTTGGTGAAAACCAACCTGATAGCACTCATAGAACAGGAGTGACTTTATTTCAAATCTATAGATACAAAATAAAGTTTTTATTAAAAGACAATACATTTTTCAAAAACTATATCCAATTGGGCTCAATAGTATGTAGCAGCTACTCAGGTGGCTAAGACAGGAGGATTATAAGTTCAAAGGTAGGCTGGGCATCATAGTAAGACCCTAGCATGTATCTTCATAGAGGGACAGACAGAGAGACAGACAGATAGACAGACAGATAAGTAGGTATAGACAGAGATCTAGAAAATTATTAAGAATGGACCTTTCCTGGGATTGAATCTTTGCCCGATTTATGTAACCTCCCTAAACCCTAATTTTCATTCTTTCATTGAAGATAAAAATAACTGCATCACACAGTAGTCTTTTAAAGACCAGTCAAGATAAAATAGTAGTATTTTCACTTGGCAGCTCATAGGAATTTCTCAGTAAGTGGTAGATATTTTTATATTATCATCACAATCACCTTAATGATTGAAATAGGAAACAAAATCCATTGAGTTTCCTAAAGTCATGCCATCAGCAGTGGCCTGTATATCACATTTGGAGAAACACCATATTATAGTTCTAAGATTTGTGTGAGAACTAGCGATGTAGCCGCAACTGGCATGCAGAGAGCCCTAGGTTCAGTACCCAGTACCACGAATAATAATGATAATATTTGTGTGAATTGGCAAAGGAATAGGATTCACTTTTCTACTCTGGAGAAGAGGCCTTTTCTTTCTTTTGAGATGCAGAGGGTTAGAATATTTTAGACAGTAATACATTTATCACACTCAAAAAACATATCCGCAGCACTAATGACAATCACAACCCATTGTACTCTACGGATGTTCTTTTTGCCATGAGAATCATTATCCTACATTATTATTTCAGAAAAAGTATTTTTTGTGACATCTCTATTCTTTGCCGAGTTAAGCTCTAGAATCCTTTGTGATATACCAGGACACTATGCAGCTACGTATGATATTTTAACTACGTTGTGTCTGTTCACTCTCTTGTTCACATGGAAATGTTTTCCATGTTTTCTCCATTTCCACTTTAAGTTCAATGCCTTCTTAGAAGCAGGAGCTTAAGAGTGAACCTTCCTAATGCAGTCAACAGGAATGTACCTTTAACATTACCTCGCTTTTATTGTTTTGTATACACCAAGAATTATGCATAGCCAAGTCATGTGAGGGAAGCCTCTTTAAGAAGAATGATGAAGTTGGGTATTCACTATATATATATATATATATATGCATATATATATATTTGGTTCTTTGTTTCCATATCTGAGGCATGATAGAAATGGCTTTGTGTCTTTGCCTATATTAAGAAGAATTCCTACTGTATATCTTGTACAAAGTACAAATGATGAAATTTTCATTGTCCCAAGGGCCATACACCAAAGAGGATAAAAAGTATGGAGATGCCTTTCATCAAAAAAGTATCAAAAGCTCTCTATATACATAAAATTTAGACATAATCATACTTATGTGTTCAATATTTATCAGTCTTTTGATCCTCTTACCTATACCAGATACACTAGAAAGTGATAGGACTATATACAAAATCAAATCTTAACAACATGTCTAAATGGTAAAGACAGTTTGCTTTTGAAAAAATTTGCATTTTAAATCTCTAATTATGGAGTCAGTTGAAGATATATTCAAATGGGTGCAATTGTCACTCAGAACTCCTTATATATTATTCAGACAGCAAAATCTGTGGAGATAGAAACCACTAAACTAAGAGTTCCCAAACTTTGCTTTATGGAGCTAGTTCCACAAGCTGTTCCAAAAGTTGCTTTGAGGAATGGGGGTTTGGAGTTGGGATGGTGGTGTGAAATGCTGTAGTTAATCTTGAGAAAAGTTAACTTTGGGAAATGCTGGGCTAAGCAAATTTGAGCAGTTATCTCTAACTGTAAGACTTCTCACATTCTAAAATATGCAAATGTGCCATGAGAGTGTTCAGGACTTGGAAGAGATGTTTTCTAATCTTATGTGTGTTGGGGGCACACCTGTTAATGTTATAAAAATAACACCTTCCATCTTAAGGTAAGTATGCTTATATTTGTATTCTAAGGTACAGAATTTTGATGTTGGGGGGAAAAACACTATTAAGAAATTTAGGTCTTCATGTACAATGAAATGATTAAATTCTAGCTCCACAAAGCATTTATCTTAAAACTTATTTGGACCAGGTGCCAGTGGCTCACATCCATAATCCTAGCTACTCAGAAAGCTGAGGGCTAATAACCAAAGTTCAAAGGCAGCCCAGGTAGACAAATTCCTGAGGCTCATATCCAATTAACTAGGTGTGGTTTAAGTGGTAGAGCACTAGCCATACAGAAAAAGGCAAGTGAGATACAAGGCCTGAGCTCAAGCCCCAGTACTGGCACAAGAAAGAAAAGAAAAAGAGAAAAGAAAGGAAAAGAATCAAAGAGGGAGGAGGAAATGGAAGAAGTAGGGAGGGACAAAGGCAAAGAAGGGAAGGAAACATCTGAATTTTAAAAGTAATGTCTTTCTGTGTCAATGAGAGTATTCGTTCCGGTTTTTCACAAGTTCAATGTATCTTTTCTGTAAATGCTAAGACTTGAAAGAGTATACTATGTGTTTCCTACACCTTTAGATATAGACAGCTTAATATTTAGGATATATTATAGAGATCTTGGCTTTAGGATAACTACTTTATCACTTTAGGCTCTCCTCATTCATTTTTCATGAGAGGACATTAGGAAGAATTTTATGTTATTGATAATATTTGTAAATAATTTTCTTTGTCAACATATTTTTACAACAGCAATCTATCCTAACAGATGGCCAGGTATAGACTTTCTAACTACATATAAGATCAGGAATTTTATTCAATATATTTTTAAGGTATATTTTTGGAACCCATATTCTTCGACTGGTAACAAGTGATGAAGAAAAGCAAGTCTCTCCAAGAGGAATGGGAGTGTGTATTGGTTCATAGTAACATAGTCCAGATGGTAATTGTTCATGTATTCCTTCAAGAGCTCAAAGAAGGCACTTGATCTGCCTATCTCTACTTGTACTGACTTTGTCCTCCTCTTTGCAGGTGGATCCTCTTTGGCAGTTCCCAAAATCCAGCATCTATTTCTCCTTTGATATGGCAAAGTCTCTGTATTCATACTAGTTCTTACCACACCTACTTGGATATTTGATCACTTTGGCTTAAAGATCAGCACACCATCTAGGCAGATCCTGAGTTACCTGTACCCTCAGCTAGATTCACCTAGCAGCATGTAGACCCTGTGGATCATAAGAAAAGGAAGAGGGATTCCCCCGTACTTAGAGGCCTTCACTGTTCCCAAGAGA